GTCGAACCTCCAGCCGCAGAGGGCGTGTCTCCAGCAGATGCAGCTCCAGCGGCGTCCGCCTCATCAACACCATCATCACCCTGGCGTCGACGCTTGTGGGCCAAACGCTCTTGCTGCTCCTTGTGCGCGATCTTGTGCTCCTCGGCGCGCTTCTTGAGCTCACCGAACAACTTCGTGCACGTGTCCTTGATGCAATCGGCCATCTGACTCTTGCGCCGAGCTGCCTCCTCCAGGTCCCCTGCAGAAACCTCAACATAGTCCTCGAGCCCGAACAAGTTCCCGTCGTCCACCTGCAAACCTGTGAGGCGACCCTCCAGGATGTCAGTGAGGCTGATCGTGGGCATGGACTGCTCCTGCTGCTGGGCCTGGGGCTTGGACACTGTGAGATGCAGCTCTGCGATGGCCGTCTTGTACTCAGCATCGTACTTGTCCAGCTCAGCCAAGGTCGACTCCAGCTGGGCACGGAGGGTCTCGAGCTTCTGCTCCACCGTGTGAACAGCTTTGAGGTCCTTGTCAAGCTTCTTCTCAAGTCTCGAGATCTCCTTGTGAGCAGCATCAGCCCGCTCTTGAGGTGGGACTGATGACTCCTTGTGCTTCTGCAGCTCCTGCTGGGCCTGCTGCAGCAGCACTTGGTTACCCATCCTCTCACACAACTGCACCATCTGCTCCAAATCAGACTTGCTAGCCGAGGAAGAAGGGGCTGAAGCGAAGGATGCCTTGGTGGCCTGACCAGCGGCAACACCAGCAGCCTCTCGACGAAGTGCCGCTGGGTCGCCACGTGCCTTGTCCCCCGCAGAACCATCGTCGATGGGGGCGTTCCACCATTTCCTGCAGTGCTTGCAATAGCTGTAGAAACTCTCATTGCGCTTGCACCCGCAATGGCGACATGACCAGCGAGGGCCACGAGCGTTGTCGCCAACACCAGGCCACGCCTTGGGAGCCATTGCGCGAGTGCCGTCTTGAGTGATGCCGCGCCAAAAGGCCCGCTGTCACCCAGCAGGAGAAGGAAGAGGAGGAGGAGGAGGAGGAGGAGGAGGAGGAGGAGGAGGAGGCGACGGACGACAAACGACGGCGACGGCGACGAGTTAGATGACGTACTTACCTGTGCACCCAGAGGCTCTCCGTGTCTCCATGTCGTGGAAGGGGCGGCCGGCGGCCCAGAGCGCCGACCGCATCAGGCCCCTCTGGTGCGCAGCAGGGTTTGGCAACGGTCGCATGCTTTGCAGCACCCACGGCGGCAAGGTCTATTGGAGGCCTGGAAATGGGCACCAACACCAAAACAGGGGGTTGCCTCCACAGGGGGAAGATGATCCTGGATTTCGGTGTTGGTGGTAATATTTCGGTCACCTTGGAAGCCAGAATATTACCACCATCACCGAGATCGGGATCTTTTTCCCTCGGTGGAGGAACACCGCCGATCTTGGTGTTGGTGTCAGCCTCTGGGCCTGCGAGTCTAGTTCAGGCTCAGGTGGCTCCGCACTCCGCTGAAGCCCCCGGGAGCGCACGGACATGGCGACAGTGCGCAGGTGGCAGCACCCACACGGACTAAAACCCAGCGTTGGGTCTCAACCAGACCGCGCTCCGCGGGACCCCCAAACCCAGCTGACGGAAGAGGTCTACTTCGGATGCCCGTAGCACCGCTCTCCGCTGAACCTCCCCAGAGCTCATGGAAGTGGCGACAATTGCGCTGTAAGCAGCATCCAGGGGAGGCGAGGTCGAATCTCGATGCCCGTAGGACCGCACTCCGCTGGGCTTCCTGGGAGCTCACGGAATTGGCGACAAGCACGCTGTTGGCAGCATTCCGGAGAGGCGAGGTCCGGTGTGGATGCCAGTAATTATTGGGACTGCACTCCGCGGAACCACCGCCAGAGCTCTTGGACGTGGCGACAATCGCGCCGTTACCAGCACCCAGGGGAGGCGAGGTCTAGCTGGGGTACCAGTTGGACGCCACTCCGCGGAACCACCCAAGAGCTCACGACAGTGACGAGCTTTGCGCCGTCGACAGCGCCCAGGGCGGAAGGACGCGACACGGGAAGCAGAGCAGCGCAGCAGAGGCTCCCTTTCCACGACGAGGGCCCAACACAGTTCTTTTGATCCGCGGGTCGAGAGCGCACCTCTTCCGGTCGAAGCTAAGCGGGCCGCGCGAAGCTTGAATTAGGCAGAGAAGAGGAGGGAGGAAGCGGCGGAGCCTCAGAGCGAGGCCGAGGGGAGGCATACGAGGGCACAACACAGGAGGGCTGGGGATAAGTCCAACATCGCCCTGCGCTGCCCGCAAGAGGCCCCCCGGAAGGCCCCCCCTGGAAGGCCCCCAGGAGGCTCCCCGAGAATTCTCCTTCTCTTCCTCCTCCGCGCCATCCTCGGGGGCGGCGGTGCTTCGCCCGAGGCGAGCTCGACAAGAGCTCAGGACGCTCGCGACACTTTTCAAGGAGTCCGGCGCCCCTCGAGATAACCCACATATGGCCCCAAGACGACCCCCGCAGCCCCCAGCTGGCCTCCAAGATGGCTCCAAGGTAGCGAAGGTCAACTCGAATCGTTCCAGTACGGTGGAAGGACAGCACTTTGCAACAAGCGTTGGGGCACCACTTCGCACGACCCCCCTCCGCCCCCGGCCTCATTATTGAACAGGCGTTCCCCGAGAAGCGGGGCTGGAAGGAGATTGAACCCAACATCGAATGCAACATTTGCCAAGATTAATAAGGCTGGGGGTGGAGGGAGGAAGCTGATTCTTCCTAGTCTGATCGCGGCTGTTGCAAAGTCTTGCCTTTCAAAAGTACACGCCATCCATTTCTAATCGTGCTCATGTCTAATTGTGCTCGCTTCTAACTGTTCCTGGCCGCCAGGAAGAGGCCCATGATAAAACAATTCGAAATGAGAGGATCTTGGCTCCCCCAAAATCAAAGAACTTTCTTTCGAACAAGTAGAAATGAGCAATGTGTATCGCTCCACTGCCCCCTGGGCGCCCCGGCCAAGCTTACGACCCTTCGACCTGGCCCCAAGGTCTCCTCGAGCACGCCAAGAGAGGCCAGAGTTCACCGCAAAAACGCGTCGAAGGCTCCCATATAGCAATGAAGGGGCCCTGGGACACACAAATAAATAGACACAAACAACCGGGTTCCCCATATTTTCCCATACTTTCTGGGTTTTGTCTTCCCCCCCCACTCCCCATATTTTCCCATATGTTCCCAGATGCCCTTGGGAATCGACGATTCATTGTGTCTGTGTGTCTTTTTTCCTTCCTGAAGCAAGCCAGGTGGTCCCAAGGCGTCTCAACGATCGCCTCAACGTGGGGGCCCACGGCAGCACCACACTCCTCAGCGACAACATCCGCGCGAACTGCGTCTGCTCGGGATGCTCCTTGTGTCTCTCCGCGTGTTGCTTCTCTTTGGCGGCGCGCACAGGGGGGTATGGGGAGGGGGGAATGCTTCTCAGAAGCACCCCTGCTTCTTAGAAGGCGCGGGCCTTGTCTACAAATGTAAGGCCGGCGCCTTCTAAGAAGCAGCCTCCTTCTAAGAAGCCTTCCCCCCTCCCCCATACCCCCCTCTGCGCACCGCCAATCTCTTACGGGACTGAGTTCCAAGATGACCCCCGGGGCCCCCAGCTGATCTTCTAAGCGGCCCCAAGATTGGTCCAAGACGATCTCACGACGTTCCAACACCTCCGCGCGGAAAGCTGTAGAGCGCTTCTGGCTTGCACGCGGCTGCGCAGCGTCGAGGCAGACGCGCTTGGCTTGTCCAGCCGGCGCGCTCGGTTTTGAGGGCAGCGGGCCAGGCCACACAGACCGCGGCAAAGTAGCCCACGGGCCCTCGCCGTTCCAACTTGGCCTGGGGGGCAGGCAGGCGCTCGTGTCTTCCGCGCGGGCCGCGATAACTATGCTGCCCCGCCCGTGGCTCTCAGAAACGGGCGCCATCAGTTGCGAAAAAGTCGCAACGCCAGGATCTCAGGAACCGGCCACCTTCGTTGACCTCCACGGCTGCGCCTCGCGCCCTGCCGCCCTTCCTCCAAGGCTTCCTGCCCTGGAGGAAGAGGACGACGACGAGGAGGAGGACGAGAAAGAGGATGAGGAGGAGGAGTAGGATGAGGAGCAGGAGCAGTGCCCTTCCTCTGGGGCTCCCTGCCCTTCCACTTCCTGGCCCCCCCCGTTCTCCTGCGGGGCCCCGGGGAGCCGGAGGGGTGGCGCGAGCCTCTCGAATATTTGCCACCGCGAACACCTCTTCGGCAGCCCAAGAAGAAGCTGGTGCTTTTAAAGTTTGGGCCTCATTCGCGTGATGGGGCCGTCACCAACCGAATCCGCACCACGAACTTTCATTCAGTACCAGGGTCTTAAAATTTAGTGCGAGTTTGAAGGGTCAAGTCCCACCGATTCGTTGCGAGCGGGCTTCCGAGTCCGCAATAGGAATCGGAAGGCGTTCTTAGGCACTCCACATCCCAAGCTCGCTGGTTTTGCGGGTGATCCCGTCGAATCTTGGCGGTCGTCACGCCGCAATCGGCCAGCGCAGCAGAGCAATGCAACCCGCCAGCTGCAATACATTACACTACACTTGGCGTGCTGCAGTAGATTTGGGGCGTACAATTAATTCAGAAGTGCAAATGTGTTGCTCGATTCGCGCGTGCAATGCGATTGTTGCAATACAGTGCAAGGCGATCTCCGGCGCGACGGATTTCCAATACAACTGGTCGTCTGCAAGACATCTGCAATGTATCGTCCACGCGCGCTGCAACTGCAACGCGCGTGCTGTGCTGGACAAAGCACTCTATGCCAAGCACGCCAAATCTTGATGCGACTGCTGTCGCCGATGGGCCGCCGAGGTCTTCGAACACGTTTCGAGACGTTTGTCTGTAGTCTGCCCTACCTGTCCCGAGGCCTTTTGCAGGCACGCACTGCACCGAACGGCGGAGGGGCGCAATCACTTTCGCACGGGCCCGTCCGATATTTCAGTGCCAACGAACTGTTTGCCACTACCCCAGTTTACCTGGACCCAATTTCGAGATGCCCAGGACACCATGAAGAACACATAGCTAATGATGATAGCCTCGAGCAACCAACCTGGGCCACGCATGGGCTCTGACGCCATGCCCCAGCTAATCCCTCCAGACATGCATTGGAAAAGTGTGTACATCGTGTTGAACAGCGATCCGTACATACCCAGCACCTGAGCGTACTCAGATGTTTCTTTAGGAGCTGTGGGATCCTTCAGGTAGTCGGTGGCTCCTTGCGTGAGGATCACGGAGACCACGTAAATCATGCCCAACATGATGACCATGACCCAAAAGAGCGATATCATAGAATTAATGATCATGTTCAGCATCACTCGGAGCTGAGCCAGCCTCCTCACCACCCGGACGATGCGCGTGATGCGGAGCAGGCGCATCACCCTTGGCGAAAAGAGAGGCGCAATGAGGAGGATCAAGGATGGGGGGGAGGAGGAGGAGGAGGAGGAGGAGGAGGAGGAGGAGGAGGAGGAGGAGGAGGAGGACGAAGACCTCGCGAGCTTGCCCATGAACGCCCCAGGCAATCCTTGGGGTCCGGAGGGAAACGGGTCCATCCCAGGGCATCCTCTAGGGACCCATCATGCTTGGTGTTTTTGCTCCCCGTCCCAGGAACCAGGGGAGGGGCCTCAGGGTCAGAGAAATGCGAAGACCTGAAAGACCCGTTGCCCTCAGGACCCGATTGTTGGAAAGCGATCCAGATGTGCCGCCAGTGGCCAGGCCAGAACTGAGGGCCACGTCGACCAAGGACAGACCCACTAAGAAGAAATCGAACATGTTCCACCAGCGCTCCTCCGGGTATGTTTTTTTTTTTCTGCTACGTGCCCATATAGATACACATATATATATATATATATATATATATATATAGAGGCGTAAACATACAGATGTATCTATACCTCTATATCGAATAAAACTGCGACGGTTACTGCAACTGTTACTATCACTACAACTGTTCCTATTACTCTTATTATCACCCGTACCCGAACTGGTACTACGATTACGGCACCAGTCCTAGTAAGCTTACGGTCACAACTGCGATGACTAGAACGTTTACAATTACTTTTATACTGCCACGGCTACGATTACTGATACGTTAACCGGCGTGGGCCCCGAGAAGCAAGCCCTTGCAGCGTGGATGTGTAAGCTATGAGGTGCAGCCATGCTGTGCAGGCTATGCGGCGCAATCTATGTGATGCAAGCACGGTGGTCCAATCTACGTGGTATACGATGCGTGGTGCAAACTATGAGGTGCAAGTTGTATGGTGCAAAGTGCGTGGTGCAAGCTATGTGGAAGCGGTGTGGTGGAAGCTATGCGGTGCAATACACGTGGTGCAAGCTATGTCATGCAAGCTATATGGTGCAAGCTATATGGTGCAACATATGTGGTGAACGCTATGAGGTGCAAGCTACGTGGTGCAATCTGCTATGGGGTATAAAATATGTGATGCGGCGACGGGCGGGAGTGGAGCTGCCAGCCCCGCAGACGGGCCAAGCGATCCAGGAAGAAAATAAAAACCCTGAAGTGCAAGCACTGGCAAGGGAACCTTTACTACCACTACTACGCAGACTCATGCTATATGGAACACGAATGCGAAGACTAACAGTTCTATCAATACGACTACTACGCCTACTACTACTACTACTACTACTACTACTACTACTACGACTACTACTACTACGACTACGACTACGACTACGACTACGACTACGCCTACGACTACGCCTACGACTACGACTACGACTACGACTACGACTACGACTACGACTACGACTACTTCTTCTTCTACTACTACTACTACTACTACTGCTACTACTTACTACTACTACTACTACTACTACTACTACTACTACTACTACTACTACTACTACGACTACTACTACTACTACTACTACTATTACTACGGCTACTACTACTACTACTACTACTACTACTATTACTACTACTACGCACACTACTACGAACACTACTACTACTACTACTACTACTACTACTACTACTCTACGTCTACTTCTACTTCTACTACTACTACTACTACTACTACTACTACTACTACGACTACTACTACTACTACTATTTCTTCTACTACGACTACTACTACTACTACTACTACTACTACTATTTCTACTACTACTACTACTACTACTACTGCTGCTGCTGCTGCTGCTGCTACTACTACTACTACTTACTACTTACTACTTACTACTTACTACTATTACTACTAGTACTACTAAGCCTACTTCAACTACAACTACAACTACAACTACAACTACAACTACAACTACAACTACTACTACTACGACTACTACTACTACTACTACTACTACTACTACTTCTACTACTTCTACTACTTCTACTACTACTACTACTACTACTACTACTACTACTACTACTGCTACTGCTACTACTACTACTACTACTACTACTACTACTACTACTACTACTACTACTACTACTACTACTACCTATCATTATTCCTACGACCATCAATATTAACATTATACTGATCGATTCGTGGATGCTCCAGTGGGTCGGTGAAGAACTTGAGGCGGTGCACAAGCAAGCGCACGCAAAGCTCGAGAAAAAAAACGAACGCGCAGACGTACTCAAGGGTATCGAACATCCCCGTGCTTTCGTCCGAGACCGCGTTGTGCTGCACTTCTGCACCTATGATCAGCGCGTTCAGGAGCACGACGAGCGTGATGGCAAAGTCGAAATAGTTTGACCTCACCACTCTGCCCACGACGCCGATATCGCCCTCGTTGCTCCGCATCTTCATGGTATTCGCGTGCCTCATGAGCCTGTTCCTCTTCTGCCGATTGTCGCCAGCGAACTGCGACAAGCGATGGTGTGAGTCCTCACGTATCCCAGTCTTCTCCATGGCCTTCATGATCATCTCGGCCCTGCTCATATTGGAAGACAGCTTGTCCGCATTCACCGTGGCGCACCCCTTCCTATTCGGGCTGCTGTGGACGCTCCCAGACCTCTGCGCGAACGACGGACTGAGCGTGGCGCTGGTCGGGCTGAGCGTGGTACTGGCTGACATCGAAGGGATCCTCCGACATTCGATGCCGTGTACAGACAACAGGGGCTCTGTGGAGAGTCGCATCCAGAGCTCTCAACCCTTCTCCTAGCGTTAAGTCGGGCCTGTCCCTCTACAGGGGGAATGATCAAAAACAATACAAAAGTAGTCTGGGGACTATTTGTTGAGCATTGTTTAGCTATTTTGGGTATGGTTGGGGTATTTTGTTTCCACTTTCCGCCCCAAAACTGCCTGTAGGAGGACATGCCCGACCTATCCTAGCGCAGGATCTATCGAGCCGAATGGGGAGGTCAGGGCCCCAGGGCCCGAAACGTGGAGAACATGGGGCTGCGCACGGGCAGCACCCGAAAGTACAGTGGCCACACGCGGTACAAATTCTTGCCCTAAGGAATCCGAGTGCGCGTTTGTCAGGAGGCAACTACTGGGAGGTTTTCGTCGGAAAGGTTTAGGAGGATTACGCCCCATTTGGGAGATGTTACGCCGGAGCGGGCCTCGGACCAAGCAGGATTAAGCCGGAGTAAACGGGATTCAGCGGGATTCAGCCGGATTAAACGGGATTCAGCGGGATCATGCAGGATTTCGGACCAGAACAGAATCAGAATTCGACCTCCCAGTAGTTTGCATCCGCACGTCCTGACGTACGCCTGGGCATCTGTGAGCCCCCCGGGCCACCGAGGGACAAGACACTTGTGGGGCAGCAGCTGGCAGCTCGAACTCTACAAGGCAGTTTTTAATACATGGGATTTTTAGATATAGGATTTTAATACAAGATTAATTGATTAATAAATTTATGAATGAACTCAGCGTTGTTTTTAATACTAAATCCCTGCATTTTTAATACATGATCTGCATGCGGAGCATGTATTAAAAACGGCACTGTGGCGAGACGCGCCCGCCGTAGTCCAGGCTGGCCTCACCAAGCCCCCCCAGGGTCCCAGGGCAGCTCGAGGTGGCCTCAACCGCCCAAGCCTCAGGGGCGGTCCCAGCCAACACCCCAAGCCCTGCGGTGCTGACTTTCTTAGGGGGAGAAAAAGTGACACAAACATAAAAACACGGAGGTCCGCGCGGATTTCTCGGAACCGCGCTGGACCCCCCTCCCTGGCGCGCGGAGCGCGCCAGGGGCGGCGCCGGAGGCGCCGCCAGGGGGGTCCAGCGCCGATCCGAGAACTCCGCGCGGACCTCCGAGTTTCCATGTTTAAGACACTTTTTGTTCCCCTATTTCTGTCGGACCGCGGCAGGCCACCGCACCTCCTCCACCGAAGAGCCTCCCCGAGGGGAAGGAGGCCAGCGGCGGAGGGGCGAAGGGGTCATCCCCTTCACCCGCGAAGCCGAGAAAAGGGAGGCCACGGAGGAGCCACGACTCCGCGACCTCGCACCTAATGCGGGATGACGATGGATAAAAAATGGGAGAGAACGATTAAGAAAAAGTGTTCTGCTATTCCTGCACAGTTTTCTGACTGGAGGAGAACGATTAAAAACATAGCTTTCCGGCCCGCGGCCGGTGCTTCCTAATCGTCAACCCGGGCGCCGCGTGAACACGACCCCCGGTTATTTATTAATCGTCATCCTCCATCCATTAGAAAAGGGAAGTGACCCAACTAGCCCCCCAGAGGTGTTGAGACCGCCCTGGGCCTTTGTGGGCCCCTGAAACGGCAGGGCCGTTTTTTTCACCGCTTCCAAAAACATGTCCCTTGAAAATAGAAAAACGGCAAAAAAACGGCGACCGGAAACGGCAAAAAAACTGCTCCAGGATTGGAACCGGAGCCGGAACCGGTCACAAACCAACGACGGAACCGGTAAAAAACGGCGTCGGAACCGGCAAAACAACGGCACAACGGAACCGGTAAAAAAACGGCCCTGTCGTTTCCAGGGCCCACTAAGCCCTGGGCTACAGTCAACCCGTATCAGAAGGATGCGCGGTAAGGATGCAAGGGCCTTGGAGGCTCATGTGAGCGTTTTTCGAACGGGGTTGGCCAGCGACGGCCGCTAAGAATGGGCCGACGGGGCAAGGATGCAAGGGTAACCTTGAAAACGTCGCTCCCCCTTGCTGTGCGGGTTGCCTGTGCCCTGGAGGCCTACTGGGGCCAGCCTGGACTACCTTAACACGGGCGAAGAACGGTATAAGATAAACTTTTTCGCTGTCGGGGGCGCCTGTCCCAGGGCGGCTGGAAAGTTTATACCCTTACGGTGGCACCGTAGGGGTATAAAACTTTCCAGCCGCCCAGGGGCATGCGCTCCCGACAGCGAAAAAGTGTATGTTACACCGTTCCTCGCTCGCTGACTATCTCCAAGAGGCAGCCCGCGCGCAGACCCCAGGCCCGAGCCTTGCCAACCAGAGTTCTGCCCCTGGCCCGCCCCAGCAGAACGAAAGTGTGCTGCCACCCCGACCACAGAGCCCCTCGAGTCGAGAAGAAATCGTGGCCGCAGGGTTTTGGTTCGCTTCGGCCTCTGGGGGCCCTTGCCAGGCCTCGGGGCCGTCCAAAAACAACTGAGGATGAGAAGCCGGTCCTGGGCAATGGGCCGAGAACTCTGGGGCTCGAGGTTCTGAACAAATCATGACGTTGGGGGTCTGGGCTACGCTAGGCTACTCTTACTCCCGATCGGCCATAAGGCCGTGCCAAATTCTAGAACCCGAACGGGGAATGCTGGCCAGTGCCTCCAGCACCCGGGCAGTTATGCGATCGTCTGACACCGATTGCTGCTAAAGGAGGCAGGAGTGGAAGCAGAAGAAGTGGAGGGGAGGAAGGGAGGGGGCGGAGGGGAAGAAACGGAGGGAACCATCGGATCTCGCTCGTGGGGACCTCCGAGAAAGAACGCCTCGCGGAGGGGCGCTGGCTCAGCCGTCGGGGCCGGGGACCCTTCCTGAGGAAAGGGGTCCCGAAGGAAACGAGCCCCGAACCCTACGGTCAACCCGCACAGGAAGGATGAGCAGCTTTCCAAGGTTAACCTCAAGTCGGGCCTGTCCCCCTACAGGGGGATTTTCGACGAAAGTAATCAAAAAATAGTCCCCAGACTGTTGTTGGACTATTTTTTATTATTTTGGGGGTATTCTTTATTCTTCGTCGAAAATCCCTCTGTAGGGGGACACGCCCGACTTAAGGATACCCTTCGCATCCTTCACCTTCGGCTCATCCTTGGCCGCTCTCGCTGGCCGCACCCCGCTCGCAAAGTGCGTGTCGGCATGGCCTTCCAGGGCTCTTGAAACCTTGGTCGTGCGGCCTCATTCTCCGGTTGACTGTGGGGCGCCCCCCAGCAGCGGTCACGGGGCGGCCTGGGGGGGGCCGCAGAGGAGGGCGAGAGCGGCAAGAAGAGGCGCTTGGAGGAGGAGGAGGAGGAGGAGGAGGAGGAGGAGGAGGAGGAGGAGGAGGAGGAGGAGGAGGAGGAGGAGGAGGAGGGAGGAGGAGGGGGAGGAGGAGGAGGAGGAGGAGGAGGAGGAGGAGGATCCTTGCTCCCCCAGGACCCCCCCCTCCCCGCCCTGTGGCGGCGCGCAATTGGAGGGGCAGGAGCGCCCAGACAGAATCGAATCGAGAAGCCGCACCGGCGATCAAGCTGAGTCGGATCGGCGGAAATCGGCGGCCGAGCCAGGAGAAGTTGCTGACTACCTACCAGACCACCCCAACCCAACCCGAAGACCCGAATTTCGGGTTGGGGGGGGTAAGGGTTCCACACGTGTTTTTTCGACGTTTCCCGACCCCCCCCCACTGGAAATCGAGGGTAAATCTGAGCCTTCGGGTTGGGTTGGGGTGGTTTGGTGGGTGGTGAGTTGCATCGGCAGAACTCGGCAAATCGTAGTCCAAATCGGAATCCGAAGTCGAATCGAGTCGGAATCGGAAAAACCATCGAAACGGAATCGAATCGGACCGAATCGGAGGAGTCGAGAAGCGCCCTGGGAGGGTAGGGGTAGGGGGGGAGGCTGCTTCTTAGAGGGTGCCCACGCCTGCTAAGATTAGGTCGGGCATGTCCTCCTACAGGCGGGTTTTGGGAGAGAAAAAAAAAAAACACATAGTCCAACTATATTCAAACATAGCAACGAATAGTGGCAAACAACGTTCCAATGCTATTCTTCACTTGTTTGAACACTCCTCCTGTGAAAGGACATGCCCGACTTAATTCTGAGAAGCAGGGGTGCTTCTACGAAGCCTTCCCCCCGCACCCTGTCCCCCGCCCCCCCACCCTCTGTCCCCCCCGCCCTCTATCCCCCGTCCCCATATCCCCCCCTATCCCCCCCCCTATGCCCCCGCCTCCGCCCCCCACCCCCCCTATCCCCTCCCCCGCCCCCTATCCCCCCGCCTCCGCCCCCTACTCGCCATCGCTCGGACGTCCATTCCCTGTGTTTTGTTTCGGTTTCGTGCGTGGCTGTTTCGCCAAATGATGAAGGATGCTCCTCGATGGCCCTCGCCGTCGGAAACATGCACACGTCCGAGCGATGCCGAGCCTATGCCCCCCCCCGCCCCCTATCCCCCCGCCTCCGCCCCCCATCCCCCCCCCCCCCCCCCGCCCGCCCCGGACCCCCCCCCGCACCCACCCACCCACCTTCTGTCAAGGCGGGCCCCGGAAAGCTCCGAGCGCATCCTGGCCGCGGCGACGAGGAGCCCCCCCGGGAGCCCCGCAGGAGGCCCCCCAGGAGCACTCGAGACCCTGCAAATCCTCGGTCCCAGGCCCCCAACGTTTAACGGGCGAAGAACGGTGTAACATAAATTGTTTCGCTGTCGGGGGCGCCTGTCCCTGGGCGGCTGGAAAGTTCATACCCTTACGGTGGCACCGTAGGGGTATAAAACTTTCCAGCCGCCCAGGGGCAGGCGCCCCCGACAGCGAAAAAGTTGATGTTACACCGTTCTTCGCTGTTAAAACGTCATCATTCTTTCCTTAGTAAAGAATGATGACCTCGGGGAGCCCACGTCGTAGCCACACTACGACGTGGGCTCCCAGAGGTCAGGATCCCCTCCCCTGGACGGGCTCTTCATCCAGAGTGGTTGCGTGGACGGTCTCAGGGCCCAGTGAGGGCCCCCAAGGGCCCCGTGAGGCTGAGAAACGCATTCCGTCATGACCCTTTCCTGGCGCGAGGGGGTCTGGGGCTCTACTGTTGCGATGCGGGGATCTGTCCATCTCCATCGCCTGCCGAGGCCCCCGAAGATCGATCCTCCGGGAGGTGCCTATGGGCAAATCCCCGCCTCGCCCTTGGGGATGAGGAGGAGGAGGAGGAGGAGGAGGAGGAGGAGGAGGAGGAAAGGGAGGAGGGAGGAGGAGGAGGGGAGGGCGGAGGAGGAGGAGGAGGAGGAGGCGAGGAGGGAGAAGGAGGAAGGAGGGAGGAGGATGGGAGGAGGAGTTGGAGACGAGGAGTGAGAGGAGGCTCCTCCTACTCCTCCTCCTGCTTTTGCTCCTGCTCCCGCTCCTGCTTCTCCTCCTCCTCCTCCCTCCTCCTCTCCTCCTCCTCCTCCTCCTCCTCCTCCTCCTCCCTCTCCTGCCCCTTCTCCTTCCCAGGTCTCCGACGTCATGATTGTTGCATCACGTCGACCCCCAGAGGTCTCGATCCATTCCTCAGGACTGGCTTCTCCTCCTGCGTCGTGTTTTGGACGGCCCCGAGGGCAGTCAGGGCCCCCAGGAGCCGAAAACAGGGAAAACCTTCCATCATGAGGTTTGTTCATGACTCGACCCTGAATCCGACGTCTCCAAAAAAATGCACCATTGTTTTGGACGCCCGAAATGGGCACGGACAGAATGGGTACAATACTCAGCAGCAAATGTTGTCCAAAACCAACAGCGGCAGCTGTTGGGCAGGCGGCCTTCTGTCTCAAATGAAGACAGGCCGCGGCGGCGCGGACAGCGAGTCCTGTTCAAGATGAACAGGAACTGCTGTTGGGCATTGTACCCATTCTTTCCGCGCCCATGTCGGGCGTCCAGAATTGTGATAAAACATGACTGGTGCCCTCGACCTCACCTTTCTGCGCCATTCTTCGAGCCAAAATCGATCTGTGAGGGTCTCGGGGCCCGAAGCTGGGCGGAAACGCTCGCTTCAACAAAAATCGAGACTCCAGGATCTCATGGGAGGAGGTCTGGGCCGGGCATGCCCTGGCGGATCTGCTGGCGGATCTGATGGGGCCCCGACGACGATGACGACAACGACGACGACCACGGCCACGACGACGACGACGACGACCACGGCCACGGCGACGACGACGACGACCACGGCCACGACGACGACGACGGCGCCGACGACGACGACGACGGCGACGGCGACGGGCGTGCACTGGCCGATCTTTCGATGGCAACTCATGGGAGCCTCCAATAATCACCATCTTGTCGGCTCTTGCGGATCGACACTAGTCGACACTACATCGACGCTAATCGACGCTAAATCGGGAGCAGGAGGAGAAGCAGGAGGAGGAGTAGGAGGCTCCTCTCACTCCTCCGCCTCCTCCCCCTCGGTTCGGCTCGGTTCGGTCACCGTGGGGGCACTGAGCCCCCGCACGCCTTCAATGCGGCTCACTTAGCAGGAGCCTCCCCCCTCCTGCTCCTGACCCTCCTGCTCCTCCTCCTCCTCCTCCTCCTCCTCCTCCTCCTCCTCCTCCTCCGCATCCTCCGCCTCCCTCCTCCTCCTCCTCCTCCTCCTCCTCCTCCTCCTCCTCCTCCTCCTCCACCTTGCACTCGCAATGGGGATCTCAATGCTCAATGCTCCTCCCTCCTCCTCCGCCTCCTCCTCCTGCTCCTCCTCCTCCGCAGCAGCCTCGCCTCCCTCCTCTCCTCCTCCTCCTCCTTCCTCCTCCTCCTCCATCTTGCACTCGCAATGGGGATCCTCAATGCTCAATGCCCCTCCTCCTCCTCCTCCGCCTCTCCTCCTCCTCCTCATCCTCCTCCTCCTCTCCTCCTCCTCCTCCTCCCTCCATCTTGCACTCGCAATGGGGATCCAATGCTCAATGCCCCTCCTCCTCCTCCGCCTCCTCCTCCGCCTCTCCCCCTCCTCCTCCTCCTCCTCCTCCTCCTCCTCCTCCTCCTCCTCCTCCTCCTCCTCCCCTCTCTTCGGCTGCCGACCCAGGGGGTCCTCTGCTCCTCCGCCGTGGGCCCCCCGCCGCGCGGCGGGCAGGCCGCGAGCGGCAGCCGCGCCGCCGGCGCCCGGTGCTGCTCCCGGGCCTCCCGGGCCGCCTCCCGCAGCCGCGGGCAGTTCACCCCGCGGACCTCTGCAGCAGGGGGGAGGGCCTCGCCGACGCCTGTCGTCAACGTCGCCGTCGTCGGCGTCGTCGCCCTCGCCGACGCCTGTCGTCGTCGCCGTCGTCGGCGTCGTCGTCGTCGCCGCCGCCGCCGCCGCCGTCGTCGTCGTCGTCGTCGTCGTCGTCGTCGTCGTCGTCGTCCTGGCCGTGGTCGTCGTAGCCGCCGTCGTCGTCGTCGTCGTCGTCGTCGTCGTGATCCAGGCAGCTCACCCCGCGGACCTCTGCAGCACAGGGGGGGGCCAGGAAGAGGAAGGGCAGCGAGCCCTAGAGGAAGGGCACTGGTCCTCCTCCTCCTCCTTCCCCTCCTTCTCGAGTCCTCCTCCTTCTCCTCATCCTCCTCCCGCAGCCCCGGGCAGCTCACCCCGCAGACATCTGCGGTGGGGGTGGCCTCGGCGACCCTGAGACCCCCAAGACTCCCTGGGGTCATGGGCGTGTCCCCCTACAGGGGGATTTTCGACGAAAAATAAAAAAATACCCCAAACATGCCCCCAAAAGGTCAGAAAATATTGAACAAATAGTCCCCAGACTATTTTTGGATTTCTTTTTTTACTATTATTCGGGTATCCTCCGGGGGGCCCCTCCCTGGGCCTCGGGATCCGTCAAAAAACGACTCGGGACGACGTACTGGTCGTGGGCCATGGGTCGAGATCGCCGGGGGTCGACGTCACGAGAAGGTCCCGACCTTTGTGGGCCCCGGAAACGGCAAGGCTGTTTTTTTTTTCACCGTTTCCATAAAAATGTTCCTTGAAAATCGAAACGGCAAACAAAAACGGCGACCGGAAACGGCAAAAAAACGGCTCCAGGATTGGACCCGGAGCCGGAACCGGTCAAACAACGGCGACGGAACCGGTAAAAAAACGGCGTCGAAAAACGGTAAAACGGAACTGGTAAAAAAACGGCCCTGTCGTTTCCAGAGCCCACTAAGGTCCCGACGTCGGGGATCTGGGCCTGAGACCCTGGCGCTGCAACTTCTCCTCACCGTGGGCGTTGGCGCCCTGCCTTGGGCCCGAAGGGGGCCCTCGCAGATCGATCTGGCTCGAAGAATGGCGCAGGAAGATAGGGTCCAAGGCAGGAGTCGCGATTTTCCGCTATGCTGCATTTGTTTTATCGGCACGTCGGATCTCAGGGGAACTGAGACCACAAGCATGCTCCCAGACAGGCCCGTGAGGAACACATGGAGGGGGAGGATGAAAAGCCGGCCCCGGTGAAAGAGACGGGGCGTCCATGACGCCCGTCATTATTGAGCGAATCTGGACACCACATGTCCAGGCTCGGGTCAGAACAAACAACCTGGCGAAAGGTTCTCCACCATCATGTTCGCCCCTTCGGGGCCATCAGTGGGCTCTGGGACCGTTGAGACATGACTCGCGGATAAAAAGCCGGTCCCGGGGAAAATGGTCGGGACTTCTGGGGAGCCCGTATTTCAAAAAACGAACAATCACATGTCTGGACTCGGGTTAAGAAACAATCAATCACGGCGGAAGATTCTTCGCCATGTCCGCCCGCCCAGGACCCTCACTGGGCCCTGGGACCATCAAGGAACCACTCGCACATAACAAGACGTTCCCCAGGAAATGTCGACACTTCCGGGGAATTTGTTTCGAAAAAGAAAAGCAGGGGCTCGTGTCCCGAAAAAAGTCACGGCGAAAGGTTCTTCACCAAGTCTGGCCCCTGTGGATGGGCCTGTTTTCCACCACCAGCACCATAAGTAGGAGGGGGAGGGAGTCCAACTCCTCCTCTTCCTCCTCCTCCTCCTCCTCCACCTCCTCCCCCCCTCCAACTTATGGTGGTGATGTAAAACAAGCCTATCACCTATCACCTGTGGGCCCTCCCTGGGACCTGGGACCGTCAACAAAAGGACTCGCGGATGAACAGCGGAGCGACGATCCGAACAAGGCCTCAACGCGAGATGACACAGCGACCCTCCTGGGAGGCCCTCGTCGTCACCGCTGGACTCGCCTCGAAAATCCTGGTCGGAGCGCACCCCAGAAGAGGTCCGGGGAGCAGCGGCATCGGCACACCAGGACCGGGGGCCGTCGAAGCCCCACGCGGCGCAGAAGGCACGACTCGGCACTGGAGACGGGGCCCTCACCGGGCCGTGGGACCGTCAACAAAGACTCGCGGATGAACAGCGGAGCGACGACACGAACCAAGCCTCAACGCGAGATGACACAGCGACCCTGCGCCACGGCCCCCTCGGGCCGCCAGCGCGGCTCGCCACAGCCCCGACCCCCGACGTCAGGATCTGTTCCTTGCGTCGATCCCCGGAGGCCTCGACTCCGTTCCCCGGGGGCCGGTTTCTCTCCCCGAGTCGTTTTCTGACGGTCCCGAGGCCCGTCGAGGGCCCCCAAGGGCCGAGAATGGCGCAAAACCTCCCGTCGTGGTTTTTGTTCATGGCTCGCGGGGGTCTGGGGAGGGAGAGGGATGGAAAGGGAGGAGGAGGAGGAGGAGGAGGAGGAGGAGGAGGAGGAGGAGGACGAGAGGGGGGGGGGAGGAGGAGGAGGAGGAGGAGGAGGGGGTCTGGGAGCGGAGGCGGGGGCGCTCGCGTGCGACCAAAAACGCGGGCGGCTTGGCGCGCGGAAGGTCGGCGCAGCCGAACTCCTCCTCTGCGGCGGCGCCCCAGGTCCCTGGGAGAGGGCCCGGGCCTCTGCGTAAGTCCGCCCTGTCCCTCTACAGGAGGGATATTCAAAATAGTAATAAAAAAAATCTTGGGACGATCTCTTGAACACTTCTCGGCTATTCAGGGGTATGTTTTCCGATTTTTTTATTTTTCGCCCGGCATCCCCATGTAAGGGGACATGCCCGACCTAAGCCTCTGTCTGCGCGGGTCCACGCCAGAAAACCTGACGACGTCGGGGGCCTGGGATGCATCGGCCCGCGCTTCCAGCGGACAGTCCTGGACGAACTGGCCCGGGTCCGCGCTTGCCCCGACGTCGCGACTTCCTCAGCTAGTGGAACAGGTCTGGAGACCAAGACCCCCCTCGAGTCAATAAAAAATCACGACGGACGGTTCTTCGCTGCTTTCGGCCTCCGGGGGCCCTCACCGGGCCGATTGGGGCCGGCAGCACAAAGACTCCGGCTGAGACGCGGGCCCCCGGGGGAAGGGGTCGAGACCTCTCGGGGTCGACCTTCTGAACAAATAATGACGTCGGGGGTCTGGGGAGGGCCCCGTCTCCAGTGCCGAGTCGTGCCTTCCGCGCCGCGTGGGGCTTCGACGCCCCCCCGGTCCTGGTGTGCCGATGCCGCTGCTCCCGGGACCTCTTTCGGGGTGCGCTCCGACCCGGATTTTCGAGGCGAGTCCAGCGGTGACGACGAGGGCCTCCCAGGAGGCCCAGGGGAAGAACGAGGCAAGGGCAGCAGCATGGGTACCTCCTCCTCCTCCGGAGCGAGGGCTCCGTATTATGAGGCGGACGATCGCCAAACACATCACGTGGTGATGTTGCGCCAGGAGGTCTGAGAGACCCTGGGCTGGCCAGGGCAACGTCCCGAAGCGGAACCAGCCGCGCGGCAGCTCGTTTGAGGACGGGTCAGCGAAGCGCGGCAGGGAAAGAGGTCGGCACTTCGTGGCCCCCAAACCAACCAGTCTCGGCCAAAGGTCGGTGGCCAGGAGGGGAAAAATAAAACCAGACCTAGGACAGAAGAACATACACAAAACATAACGGAAAGTTCGACTCAATTTCGGCATCCGGGGGCCCTTACTGGGCCTCGGGAGCGCCAAGAAACGACTCGGGGTGGGAAACCAGTCCTAAGGAATGGGTCGAGCACTCTTGTACATAGTCGACGTTATGAGAAAAAGTAACATGACGTCGGGGGGGTGGGTATATGCTCAATGGCGCAGGTTTCCTCGGTCTCGACCTCAGCTTGGCCCCCTAACCAACCAGTCTCAGCCAGAGGCCGACCAGAGGGGATAAGACTACAGCCAAATCTAGGACATTATAACAGCCTCCAGGGGCATGAGGCCCTCCTCTGGCTGAACCGAAGACTGTTCCCAGGCTACCCTCACCCAGGATGCACAAGAGCAGCCCACAAACACGAAGAGCATCGGGGCACCCTCCCCAAGCCGACCTCGACCTCGCGCCTCGGGTCCGACCCGTATGCTCAGTCGCGCGGCTCGGTCTCGACCCCCGGAAGGCCGTCCTAGCATCCCCAGGCGCTCGGGGGGCTGGTAGTGGGGGTTGACCTACACTCGCCATCGCTCGGACGTCCATTCCGTGTGCTTTTGTCGGTTTCGTGTGTGTGTGTGTGTGTGGCTTTTTCGCCAAATGATCAAGGATGCTCCTCGATGGTCCTCGCCGAAGGAAAAATGCACACGCCCGAGCGCTGCCGAGTGCATGGGAGGCGAAAAGCAGGGCCCCAATAAGGGGGCACTCTGGGAGCCCCGGTGGGAGCCCGCAGGGGCCCAAAAGGGGCCCTCGAGCGCGCCTCTGAGGCCAGCACTTTCACCCCCCATTTAGGTTGAAGTCGGGCCTGTCCCCCTACAGGGGGACTTTCGACGAAAAATAAAAAATACCCCCAAGATAATCAAAACATAACAAAACATAGTCTGGGGACTATTTTTTTGTATAGGTTTTTTGTTGTTGCATTTTTGGTATATTTTTGGAGTATTTTCATGTTTCGTCGAAAATCCCCCTGTAGGGGGACATGCCCGACATAAATTTAGGTCACCCCCTCGGCCCCTGAAGCGGGGTGGAGGAGCCCGGGGCCCGTGCACTGGCACAAGCACTGCGCCAGAGCTCTGTGCGACAGCACCGCCTTTATGACCTCTCTTCCTCCTCTCCTCCTCCCGCTCCCTGTCTGTCGGTTTCCCAATTCACTTTCTACAGATGCCGCCGGTGACCCTTGGAGCGGTAATCCAGGGGTCACCTAGCCTCAATTTGATCAATCCCCCGTAAGGCCGACCAGCCCTGGCTGGGGGAGGGCCACGTTCGACGAACCTTCCAGCCACCAGGAACGGGAACAGGAACAGGAACAGGAGGACCAGTGTAATACCAAGACGCATCAACGATATTGCAGTAAGTCCTCCCTCCAAGCTCCCTCTTCACAGGGACCCAACAAGAGTTATTGTCAGTGCGGGGAGTGCTCCCCTGGATGGCAACCGTCAGAATCCTCACTCGAACCAAAACAGAACTCCTAGAACTTTGACTCCCTGGACCAACGTGACTGTTAAATCCTGGTGTCCCTAACTCGCGCCAGAACACCATTCCTGGCACTGACAAGCTTACGAACCATGAGAACGGCAGCCGGCAATGAAAACGACCGCGCGCGGCGCTGAATCCCGCCGGAGCCACCTTTTGAGAAGGTACCGCCCTGCATCCTTGGAGCTGGAGCTAAAGCTTAATATGAATGTCCGCAATGCTGAGGCGAGCGCCACA